CTCTCCCCCCCTCGGCCTCTCGTACCTGCAAAGGAAACTTCCACTCCCCACTCACACACCTTTGACCCTCCTCAAAATGCTTTGTGATGCTAGCAACAGCGTTAGCAATATACAATGCTGATCTGCCTTCCCAAGGGACTCCCTGAGGGAGGGGGCCTTGGCGTGTGACAGGAGGCTCAGCCTTTACCACCCTTGCTCCTTTGATCCTAACCATGAAGATCCCCTGCTATTCTAATCCTAACTTCCCTGACATAAAGCTCTGCCAGTACGCCCCAATCCTGACCGTAAATGTCCTGTGCTATTCCAGTCCTGAGCCCCCCATCCCCTGCCTGCTACAGCTCTACCAATTCATCTCAGTCCTAACTTATGCATCCCCTATTGTTCCTCTCATATGTCCTTTAGCAAAGAAAAAACAAACCAGACAATATTTTTTTCTTTTACGTTTCAAACTACGGAGTCCACCCCAACCTATGCAGATGTGATCCGACAAGGTTTTAATCATATTCGCCATCTGGACAATGCCTTCAAAACAGTGCACCAGAGACACTGCAGAGAAATGAAGGATTTTGACCAGCACCAGTGGAAGGAGAAGCAAGAATTCCTCAGGTACAAAAATGAGTGTAGTTTCATTCTAGCATATTCTGTGATGATCTGAACCCAACTGGTGATTTCCTTGTCTGGCGAACAGGCGAAACCTGTTAGCTAACGTTGATTCCAGAGGCGTTTCGGGGCATGAGGAAATATGGGGATGGCTTTGTGCAGCTAGTTATTCCAGGGGGGTACAGAGATGCAATGTAGTGTTTTTCTGATGTTGCTTTAGGTGGAATCTGTCAGCTAATGCTCATCCAAAGGAGTTTGAGAATATAGTTTGTTTTGGAAGGGTGATCATGAATTTTGGTGAGGGTAACAGGGTGATTAAGAGAGGAGAGTGTGTGGAATGCAGAGCTTTAAATGTTTATGGATTTGGGGATACAGGGGTTAGCTAATGTCAATTCCAAAGTGGTGAAGAAATCCACTCCTAAACTTTCTTTGATTGCTCTAGGTGATTTAAGAAATCTTTTCTATCCTTAATACTTAAATACCTTTGAACAGTTTATATTGCTTTTCTTTCTCTCTTTCTCGCTCCCCGGCCTCCCCACTCCACAGAAAAGAGAAGCAATTGCTGTCAGAGAAAAGAGAGATGAAGAAGCTGAACCAATTGTTGACCCCTCGCCTGGATGTACTCTTCAGTTCTGACAAGACTTCAAGTCTGTCACAGAAGTGTCTTCATCCAGAAACAGCCAAACAGTAAAACAGCACCCTGAGCAACCCAGAATTCATGATTTCCCCCAACATAAATTGACATAAATGTTCATTCAGATCTTCATATGCATCTTAACGGTATATTTTGGTCAGCCTATCCCAAAGCTTTCTCCACCAATTAGGAACAGACAAACCTGAAAAAATGTGAAGATTCAGTTCACAGAAGTACTCGGAGTTTAAAAGTTTGACTGATTTCTAAACTCATTGATCTGTAAAAACTGGGCTGGAAAAATCTCACAACATTGCAAGAATGGAAGTAATATATGAGAATGAAAAGTCACTTGAATATTTTTTTAAATAGTTTCATAGTTTGGTTCTTTGGCAAAGATTTGAGTTGTTCTGTGTTTTATCTGAACTGGCTTGGTCCCAAGCTGAAAGGCAGTGTAGTTCAGACTCAGTGCATCCCCTTGCCAACAATATGTAGTAGTGGAACTGCGCTGGCCAGCTGCAGACCCTCCCAGACAGGAGGAAAGTTGCGGGAGGCTCTCTGTGCTGGTGAAACCTGCAATGACTCCAGCCCTGTGTCTCAGTTTTCCATTGTATAAAATAGGAATATTTTATCTACCACACATGGGTGGTGTGAAGCTTAGTTAAGGATAGTATAGCACTTTGAAGATGTAAAGTTTAAGTTCTGTGTATCAACATTATCATTTTAGCAGCACTTTGGGATGAGTGGTAGCCTTTCCAGCTTGGTCCACTCATCTGCCTCCTGGAAGAGCCTGTCTATAAACAGGAAAACAGGCCAAGTTTTTTTAAAATAGGAGTCTAAAGCTAGGCCTTGTCTACACAGAAAAATACCAGTTTTACTGGTATAATTTAGCTATTCCAAAATACAGTAATTCCCCCACATGGACACACTATTCCAGAATAAAAGTGAGCTATGTGAGCAAAATAGTTATTTCAAACTAAAGTCACTTTTATTCTGGAAGTGTCCATATGGGGAATAGCTTATTCCACAAAAGCTCTGTGTATAGCCAAAGCCTTAGGCTCCTAAACCCACATTCGGGTACCTAAATACATGGCTTGATTTTCAAAAGTGCTGAGCACCCACACACTCCCACTGAGGAAGATGATCACAATTTGCCTTTCCATGTTTCATTTTCTCACATGGCAAATATTAGAAATGCCTACATGCACTCCTACACCCTCGGGGACAGATGGTGGTATTTTCAAAAGTACCTTGAAAGTCATTGGGATTTGTGCTCTTTCTACTCATCTGGAACTTAGGCTATTGCTAGATTTAAAAAGAGCAAATATAATAATTAAGCATCAAGAATGGTTTTCTTGAGGTCCAGGTTAATGGTTACAAGCAAAACAAAAGCATTTGGGGGATAGCACAGAGGAGTCCACAAGCCACAAAGAAATAAACCTAATTGCATCTTCCTAGACATTTCCTGATCTACTTACATATATGGGATTTTTAATAAGTAGTTTCTAGGTATGATCTTATGATTTTTCATACCTGGCTTAACGCTTTTTACAGCATAGTTTCAGCTCTGTCCCCTCTCTCCGGAGAACAACAGACAGACAAAGGGAAAGTTTTTTCCCAATTTTAAAAAGTTCTAGCCCTCCCATTGGCTCTTTTGGTCATGTGCCCATTACCTTCCTTTTACCTATGGGCTTTTTAAACCCTTTACAGGTAAAGCAAGTAGAGAACAGCTACTAACAAGGATTTTGTAACTAACTGGCTGGGTGTTCATAAAAGGGAGCAACCCCCCCCCCCTTCATTTATCACACCTGTAGTGGTAGGGATATATTTTATGGAATTATAGTGAACCAATATTAACTGCAGTCTTGAAGCTGAACTTGAACAAGTAATTTCTGTTCATTTATCCAGTCAGGTAAGAGTACAATGTTTGTAACTGCTTTGACAGTACGAAGAGGCAGGATGAGCTGATGGATCACACATGTGACTACCTCATGCACTGCCTTTTGTGACCTTATACAAGTTACTTACATCAGCGTGGTCAGAAGTGGTCTATAATTTTGCATGTCAATTTTTGGCTGCCTAATTTGGAACTACTATGACACTTATTTGGCGCTGCATGTGCAAAGCACCTTTGAAAACCAGGTCTAAGCATGGGTGTGGTTTCAGGGGTAGGGGTGTTGTCCCCCAAACTGCAAGCCTCAGGCAACTGTGGAATTTGCTCCCTGATTGGCCTGACTGGAGTTGCCCCCCCCAAATATAGAAGTCAAACTATGCCTATGGGTCTAAGATTTCTCAAGTTGGGAGCCAAAAACTGAAGCACCCAGAAGCTGGCTTTATCTTTTCTTCTTCTTCTTCTATTTGCTGATCTGTAAAATGAAGATAATACCTACCTGTTTCACAAGGGTACTGAAGATTAATTAATGTTTATTAAAATGCTTTGAAGATAAAAAGCAATTTAAATGTACTATGCATGTTACATATAAATATTAGGGCTTTATGCAATTTTAAATATAAATGTATGTGCCAATGCAAGATGTCTGGGCCTTCTGCCAGCAAATGTGCAGCAAGGAGGCCTGTCAAAAGTTCCTGTATGACAATATCAACCAAGATAATTCCCATTTGAGAATCTGGGAAAACAGCTGGTTAGGAGGAAAGGGTGGAGAAATGGCCCTCTGTCCTGATGAAATGAGTTTCCTTAAAAGAGGGACAAGGTGAGTGAGATAATATCTTTTACTGGACCAACTTCTGTTGGTGAAAGAGAAGAAGGGCTTTCACTCTCCACCAGAGCTGAAGGTCCCAAGAGGAGCGACCTGGAAAGCTTGTTTCCTCTTTTACCCTCAGAAGATGATCCAATACAAGCTATTACCTCACCCACCTTGGCTCTCACACACCCTGGGACCAACAGGGCTACACCACCACAGCTCCTCAAAAGCACATCTTCTTGGGAAGTGACTAGGACATGGCAGGGTTGGTTGTGTCACAAGTGTCACCCCCGCCGCTGTTTGGCAGACTGGGGCTGTGACACGCGGGTGCCCCTGCAGGGGAGACGTGACCCGGCCCAGGCACCGCACCGGGCAGCAGCAGCAGTACACGCAGGCCCCACGGGGCAGGGGGCTCTGGGGTAGCGCCTCCTCCCCTGCCCATCGGCAGCCCCGGACAGGCGGCCGGAACTGAACGGAGCCCTCGGGCTGCCCACGTGGACAGTTCAGCCACTGGAGCAGCTCGGAGCTGGGAGGCTACAAAGGCCCCTAAAGCCCCCCCCGCCCCGGGCTGCCAGCGGCTGCAGCGCAGAGCCTCAGCCCAGGGGGGATTTGTAACCCCGCCGCCAGCCCCGCCCGCGCTCCCAGCGCCTCCTGAGGCGGCTCGGGGGCTCAGCGTCACCCCCGGCTTCGCACGGGCGGGGCCTCGGTGAGGCAGAGAATGAATGTCATTGCTCGCGCTCACCCCTCTCCCTTTCCATGGTACAGTCTAGCTTCAGAGTCTCTCTTCCCCCTCCCCCCCCCCGCGTGACAGTTCGCGAGTCCGACACTACCATTCCGGGCTGGGGAAGGGGGGTCCGACATCTGGGTTCATATCTCGAAACTCTCACAGGGGCACTGAATATGGATCGTTCCATTAATGAGTAGAGCCCTGGGGAAAGGATGTACTTTAACGTATGCCCTTATACAGAATAATGTTCTACCGGTTCCCGGCCTTCCCCTCTCCCCAGTGGTAGAGTCCTAACCTCTTCTATAGAGGGCATCGGAAAACTACCAGTGCGCCTGTGCACGGCGGCTCCGAGTCTGGCTACGCGCGCGTTCGGGTAACTGCCGCCGCCGCCGCCTCAGTTCTGTGTCAGCCCCTTTTAGCGGGAGTTTTGAGGCGGGAAAGGGGAGGTGACTCGAGCTCGTCCCTGCAACGAACAGCGAGTAACGGCCGGGGCGGGGCGCGGGATCTCTGAGGCGGCGGGGGCTGCGCTTGGGGTGAGCGGGGGATGAGTCCCGCCTGCTGCTGCGGGGCTGAGAGTGGCCAGTTCAGTGGGCGTCGCTTCTGGCCCTATCTCGCTGCGCCTGGCCAGCGCCTGTTTGCCCCGCGCAGACAAGTAGCGCTGCTGTGGCGTCTGCTCGGCTGAGTCCCGGGCTCACTGAACTCGGCCTGGCGAGGGCGCTCGGCGCTGTGTAGCCAGAGTCATGATGTGGTTAGGTCGACCTAACCCCCGCTGTTCTTCCATCGACCCCGCTATGGCCTCTGGCAGAGGTGGATTAAGTACAGCAATGGAGAAACCCCATCCATTGGCGCAGGAAGCAGCTACATTTCATAGATTCATAGATTCTAGGACTGGAAGGGACCTCGAGAGGTCATCGAGTCCAGTCCCCTGCCCGCATGGCAGGACCAAATACTGTCTAGACCATCCCTGATAGACATTTATCTAACCTACTCTTAAATATCTCCAGAGATGGAGATTCCACAACCTCCCTAGGCAATTTATTCCAGTGTTTAACCACCCTGACAGTTAGGAACTTTTTCCTAATGTCCAACCTAGACCTCCCTTGCTGCAGTTTAAGCCCATTGCTTCTTGTTCTATCCTCAGAGGCTAAGGTGAACAAGTTTTCTCCCTCCTCCTTATGACACCCTTTTAGATACCTGAAAACTGCTATCATGTCCCCTCTCAGTCTTCTCTTTTCCAAACTAAACAAACCCAATTCTTTCAGCCTTCCTTCATAGGTCATGTTCTCAAGACCTTTAATCATTCTTGTTGCTCTTCTCTGGACCCTTTCCAATTTCTCCACATCTTTCTTGAAATGCGGTGCCCAGAACTGGACACAATACTCCAGCTGAGTATTCAGTACTGTAGTGGCACAGCTGCTGTAATGTGTAAACGTACCGTGAGAAGACAAGTATGATTTGCTCCTTTATTTCTTTAACACATATCTTGGGAGGTGTAGAACTAAATAGAGCAGGGCAGTAACTCTGGTTAGGGTTGGAGTAATATGGAAGGATTCATACTTTTTCCTTCTCAAGGCTCCCCCAACCCCATGCGCAGCCCCACGTTCTGTCTCAACCCTTTATCTCCCGTCTCCACGCCCTGTTCCATGTCCCCTGTGCTTGGAACCCTCCTTATCTCGTTGCGCAAGACAAACAATAATGCATGTCACACACAGGTGAAGACAAAACATACTTCAAGATAAATTCATCCTCTGGGTGCATTTGTGCCTGATTTTTTTTAGTTGGTCTGGATAAGATTTTAGGTATAACTCCAAGTTGGCTGTGGGGCAGAGCCACATTACCACAGCAGGAGCACTGGAAGGCTCCCCAGAGAACAGGGGCGTGTCTACACTGCTACACTTCTTAATAGGGTACAGTAAGGGCTGGTCTACACTGGGGGGGGAGGGGTGTTGATCTAATATACGCAACTTCAGCTACCTGAATAGCGTAGCTGAAGTCGATGTATCTTAGATAAATTTACCTCGGGTCCTCACGGCGCGGGATCCACGGCCGCAGCTCCCCTGTCGACTCCGCTACCGCCTCTCGCTTGGGTGGAGTTCTGAAGTCGACGGGGAGCGCGTTCGGGGATTGATTTATCGCGTCTAGATGAGACGCGATAAATCGATCGCTACCCGCCGATCGGGCAGGTAGTGAAGACATACCCTAAAGTTCCCCCTACATCCCTTGCTGACCAATAGGAAGGTACAGCCGCGGCTTTGCCTACGCTGCTAATTTTGAGTTGCCATTTCCCCAAAGAGGAGTAGTCCCCTTGCCCTTTTGAATGCAAGGAATGCATGATTATATGCATTTCAGGACAGGGAGGGAGGATTTATTTTTATTTATTTATTTTTAAAAAGTGTAAAGAGAGGATTGTAACATTCCCTTTACCTTTTATAGTAATTGTTCTGGGGACAGGGGGCTTGTTAATGTTACTTCAGGAAATATTTCACCTTTTGTTATTAATATATTAAAGAAAAATGGATACAGATGACTAAATTTTCATAACTGGCAGGGATTCCATCCATTTGTCTAGAGGAAAGAAATACATTGTGGTGCCATATGGAGATGTTTCAGAAACAACTTATTTGAATATTTTTCATTAGAAAGTAAGATAAGTCATTCCATTTTATTTTTACTTCCAAACAACTCCTCTGAAATTACTCCAATTTTTTCTTCCTTTATTTCCATTTCCTCTAGCCAGGAAGGCTCTTTGTCACATCAGTCCTCCCTCCAGAAAGGTTTCAGAGTAGCAGCCGTGTTAGTCTGTATCCGCAAAAAGAACAGGAGTACTTGTGGCACCTTAGAGACTAACAAATTTATTAGAGCATAAGCTTTCGTGGGCTACAACCCACTTCTTCGGATGCATATTGAGTGAAACATATCGAGGAGATATATATACACACATACAGAGAGCATGAACAGGTGGGAGTTGTCTTACCAACTCTGAGAGGCCAATTAAGTAAGAGCTTAAACCAGAAAGCTTCCTCCAGAAAGGGAAACTTTGCCTAAGCCAATTTGGGCAGAGTGGGTCTTCTGAGAGAAAAACAAGATTCTCTCTCCATTATTGGGGAGGTAAGCACCTCTGCAACACATCCAGCCCCTGCTAGTACATGCAGTGAAGGACCAAGCTTAGAATCTGAATTTGGATTCTTATGTGATAGCGCATCGAGATGCCACTACGCCATTGAACTCCTATTAAGAGTATTTTATAATTACTTTATGTATTTCCACCCTGATGGTGTGTGTGTTTGCCTTTTTTAGTACTGACTGATGCCTTATTGCCTGCTCTTTCACAATGAAAGCCATGGAGGATCAAGTGGTGCAAGAAGAACTAGGGTACCAGGATGATGAGGTATTTATGGATTGTGAAAAAATATGTCTACGTTCTGTCTGAGGGCGTCGCGCAGAATTTTTTGTAGAAGAGCAGTGTTTCTTCGGTGCAGGATCATGAAAGAAAATTAGAGGGTTGCAGGGTGGTAAATTTGATTACAATCTAAAGCAAAGAAAATCTTGCTCCCCTGCTCCCTGCACACTCTTATCCTTCAAGATCAAGTGTTCTTTGTCAACCTCTTGAAACACACACACACAAATAAATTGTGTAGGCTTACTGTTATCAGTACATGTTTTACTCTTAGGCCTTGGCTACACTTGCGAGTTGCAGCGCTGTAAAGCCGCCCCCAGCGCTGTAACTCACTCCCCATCCACACTGGCAAGGCATTTGCAGCACTGTATCTCCGTGGTTGCAGCGCTGCATGTACTCCACGTCCCCGAGAGGAATAGCGTGTATGCGCTGCTGCTGCGGCGCCAGTGTGGCCGCCCAATGCGCTGTGACTGGCCTCCAGAAGTATTCGGCAGTATCCCACAATGCCTGTTCTAGCCACTCTGGTCATCAGTTCAAACTCTACTGCCCTGGCCTCAGGTAACCAACCATGTGACCCACCCTTTACATTCCCCGGGAATTTTAAAAATCCCCTTCCTGTTTGCTCAGCCCGGCGTGGCGTGGAGTGCTATCAGCGAATCTTTCCAGGTGACCATGCCTCCACGCGCCAAGCGAGCCCCAGCATGGAGCAATGGCGAGTTGCTGGACCTCATCAGTGTTTGGGGGGAGGAAGCTGTACAGTCCCAGCTGCGCTCCAGCCGTAGGAATTACGATACCTTTGGGAAGGTATCAAAGGACATGATGGAAAGGGGCTATGACCGGGACGCCCTGCAGTGCAGGATTAAAGTCAAGGAGCTGCGGCGTGCCTACCGCAAAGCCCGCGACGCAAACGGCCACTCGGGTGCTCCCCTTGCAACCTGCCGATTCTCCAAAGAGCTGGATGCGATACTTGGGGTTAACCCCACCTCCACTCCGAGCACCACCATGGACACTTCAGAGCCGGTGGGGGGGGGGGAGGAGGAGGAGGAAAACGGGAGTGATGGTGGTGGGCCGGATGGAGACACCCCGGAATCCCTGGAGCCATGCAGCCAGGAGCACTTCTCGAGCCAGGAGGAAGGTAGCCAGTCGCAGCAGCCGGTACTTGGTGGAGGACAAACAGAAGAGCAGGTTCCCGGTAAGCGATTTTATTGGTGGAGAAGGAATTTTTCCGGTGCGGGCTCTTTGGGAGAGGAGGGTTAGGCATGCATGCCTAGATGCGGAATAGTGTATTGATGTGGTTTATCACATTGCGGTAATCGGCCTCGGTAATCTCCTCGAATGTCTCATCCAGAACGTGTGCAATGCGCTTGCGCAGGTTTATCGGGAGAGCCACCGTGGTCCTTGTCCCAGCCAGCTAACGTGTCCGCACCACTGTGCCGCGAGGGGCGGGGGGGACCATTGCTGCACACAGGCAAGCTGCATATGGGCCAGGGCGGAAGCCGCATTGCAGTAGAAGACCCTCCCTTGCTTCCCAGGTCACCCTCAGCAGCAAGATATTGTCCTGGACGAACTCCTGTGGAAAATGTTGGGACAGTGTTCAGTGTAGGTGCCCCCTGAAGCTGTTGGCTCTCCCCAAGGCACAGAAACCCAGAGGACAGTGCAGCCCTGAAACAATCAGTCCCCCTTACTCACCATTTTGAGGCTCCCGTGGGATATGTGTGCTCTGTTTCGGACAGGAAAATTATGCTATTGTGTAGATCCTGTGTGTTTTCTACTCCTTAAGTGCGGGGGGAATCATTACTTTGTCTGGTATAAACAATGCTGCCTCTGTTAAATGTTGCATTTTGCCCATACAGCAGCATCAATCTTGAGACCTCAGCCGTCCCTCTTATCGTCTGCTCAGAGACTGCAAAGACTCAGGAAGAGACCGCGAAAAAGCAAAGAAGACATGCTACAAGAAGTGATAAGGCAATCCATTAAAGAGAATGAGAAAGCACAGAACTGGAGGGAGAGAGAAAGCAGGATCCGCCAGGAAAATGCAGCGCACCGGCGGCAAAGCACGGAGCACCGTCAGCAAAACACGGATCGGCTCATAAGCATCCTGGAGCGCCAAGCAGACTATCCAGGAGCTCATAGCCATGCAGAAAGAGGAGCAGTACCGCAAATGCAAATGCCACCCCCCCCCCCCACAGCCCTTGTCCCAAAACTCTTTCCGTTGTGCCCCACTGTCACCTCCAACCCACTTTCCCCAACTTCCGTGTTCTTCACGCCACCCGCTGCCTCCAACACCAGTATCTTCACCACCCAGCCCTGAAAACCACGACCCTTACCCTCTGCACTCAGTCCCCATCACCATGCAGTATAGCTATCCTGAAGTGCAGCACTCACTGCACAGCACACCATACAGGACATACACGAATCTGTGATTGTACTGTTCCCCACTCCACCCCCTTGTTTCTTTTCAATAAATATTTTTTTTTTCTTTTCAATAAATTGATTTTTTGGCTTTGAAAACATTCTTTATTATTGCATAAAGTAAAAGACTCCTTAGCCCAGGAAATAAACAGGCACTGCAAGTCTGCTTGTCTGCTTAACAAACACTGATTCCTAAAGATTTGAACTACTGCACTTCACTCCCGTGCAGGGCACCAGATATCACTGCTGGTTTTCAGCCTCAAATTGCTCCCTCAAGGAATCCCTAATCCTTGCAGCCCCGCGCTGGGCCCCTGTAATAGCCCTGCTCTCTGGCTGTGCAAATTCAGCCTCCAGGTGTTGAACCTCGGAGGTCCATGCCTGAGTGACGCTTTCACCCTTCCCTTCACAAATATTATGGAGGGCACAGCACGCGGATATAACTGCGGGGATGCTGTTTTCGGCCAAGTCCAGCTTCCCATACAGAGATCGCCAGCGGCCCTTTAAATGGCCAAAGGCACACTCCACAGTCATTCGGCACTGGCTCAGCCTGTAGTTGAACCGTTCCTTGCTGCTGTCAAGGCTCCCTGTGTAGAATTTCATGAGCCACGGCATTAACGGGTAAGCGGGATCTCCAAGGGTCACAATGGGCATTTCAATTTCCCCTACCATGATCTTCCGCTCTGGGGAAAAAAGTCCCGGCCTGCATCTTCCTGAACAGCCAAGTGTTCCGAAAGATGCGTGCGTCATGCACCTTTCCGGGCTAGCCTGTGTTAATGTCAATGAAACGCCCACGGTGATCCACAAGCGCCTGGAGAACCATAGAGAAATACCCCTTCCGATTAACATACTTGGATCCTAGGTGGGGTGGTGCCAGAATAGGAATGTGCGTCCCATCTATCGCCCCTCCACAGTTAGGGAACCCCATTTGTGCAAAGCCATCCACTATGTCCTGCACGTTACCCAGAGTCACGGTTCTTCTGAGCAGGATGCGATTAATGGCCCTGCAAACTTGCATCAACACGGTTCCAATGGTCGACTTTCCCACTCCAAACTGGTTTGCGACCGACCGGTAGCTGTCTGGAGTTGCCAGCTTCCAGATTGCAATAGCCACCCGCTTCTCCACTGGCAGGGCAGCTCTCAATCTCGTGTCCTTGCGCCGCAGGGTGGGGGCAAGCTCCTCACACAGTCCCATGAAAGTGGCTTTTCTCTTCCGAAAGTTCTGCAGCCACTGCTCGTCATCCCAGACTTCCATGACGATGTGATCCCACCACTCGGTGCTGGTTTCCCAATCCCAAAAGCGGCGTTCCACGGTGCTGAGCATGTCCATGAATGCCACAAGCAATTTCGTGTCGTACGCGTTACGCGGCTCGATAGCATCGTCGGACTCCTCACCCTCACTCTCACTGTCACTTTGGATCTTAAGGAATAGTTGGACAGCCAAACATGACGTGCTGGTGAGATACGTCAGCATAAGCCTCAGCAGTTCGGGCTCCATTTCCCGCAGACAGATCACGCTGCACAGAAACCGTTGAAAGATGGCGCCAAAGGTGGACGGAAACAAAGGGATTTCTGGGATGTGAAGCGATGCATCACGGGGCTTTGGGACAGGACCCAGAATGCCCAGCACCCATGCCCCCTTCCCACAACCCACGGCGCCAGAATGGGAAGAGGTGCTCTGTGGGATAGCTGCCCATAATGTGCCACTCCCAATAGCGCTGCAATTGTGGCCACGACAGTGCGCTGGGCAGCTGTCAGTGTGGACAGACTGCAGCGCTTTCCCTACTCAGCTGCACGAAGTCAGGTTTAACTCACAGCGCTGTACATCTGCAAGTGTAGCCAAGGCCTTAGAGTAAATGTAAGGAGATCACAAAAAATTGACTTTGAATAAGGGGTCTTCAATCTGAAAAGGTTGAGAAACACTATAGTAGAGGGTTAGAAGGAAGAGTTTCACAATATTACTTCATTAGTAGAGTTTCGCAGCATGATTGGTGGCTGTGTTTCTCCAGATGGTTACACAGTATGAGGACAACAGGAAATGCTGAAATCCTTTTGGTTCTTTCTTTGTTGTGCCTATATTGGTAGGTAGTAGGATATGTACTATTATGAAAAGCAATCCAGGTCTCAGGATTTAAAATGGACACATGTTAAATTAGACAGGTAACAGGGAGATACAGGTGGTGGGAAAAAATGACCAAGATTCTGTCTTTCCCCCTGCCTCCTTTAGGAATCCTTGTTTCAGGATATTGACCTGTTACAGAAACATGGAATTGTAAGTATAAGTAATAGATATTATCTAGACAGTTTTGCATGGGATGTTATTTAGGAATGTTACCAAAAAACACTTCTCCATAGTGATGTGCTTAACAAACTTTCTCCCCATAACAACGTCTAAGTAAGGCCATGTCTACGCTATGGGCGCTATGGCAGCACAGCTACAACGCTGCAGCTATGCTGCTGTACCCCTGTCGTGTAGATGCTTCCTACAGTGACAGATGGGGTTATTCCATTGATGTAGCCATTCCATCTCCATGAGTGGTGGTAGCTACGTCAATGGAAGAATTCTTCTGTCAACCTAGCTGCATCTACATAGTTAAGTCGGCTTAACTATGATGCTCAGGTGTGTGAATTTTGCTATGTCAACCTAACTTTTGAGTATAGACCAGGCCTAAGAGATACAGGGAGGGCTGGACAAGTTTTTTCTTTCATAGTTTACATATTAAGGGCCAGATTTTGAAAAGTGTTTACCACCCAGCAGCTCTTGAAAATATGGCCACTTATTTTAGTACCTACGTGAGAGCAGTTGGATGGTGAGCATTTTTTGACAATCTAGCCATAGATTAGTTTCTGCACCAGCCAATAACTATCTATAATGACTCCAATGTCTTCTCTAGCCCCTACATTATATTGTGAGTGGCTTTGTTATGCTGTTCTCAGAATGCTGGGGAGCAGTTTTCTTACTAGTTAAAAATTCTTCAGTAAACTCCACCAGTAGACTTCTCTCAAACTGGGAAAAATAACTCAATGATTTATATTAAGTGAGTACTTATTATACCCCTTTATGTATAAGACTTTTGTTCTTCATGACTGGCTTTTCTTCACCCATCCTTGTCATCATAATATGCACAAGATAAACCCAAGGAGAAGACAGAAGCTTCTCAGTGGAAGCAATTAAGTTATCCCTTATTCTCCCTAGTGTCATTTGCACACAGCTCCTGTGCATAAATGGGGGACACATCCAAGTTCATAGTTTTTACCCAAAGAAGGGACTTGTCTGGAGGTGACAGTTTGAAGCAGTGTTCATTAAACCTTCTGCTACTATTTTGTCTAAGTAACCTGCTGCATTGCCTCTGTTCCATTACATTTCCACCCACCCAGGAGTATCTGTAACATTTGACAACAAGCAAGTGTATTCTTCCCTGGACATACTTAGAACATTCAGAAACAACAAAGCAGTTAAATCTATTTCTTTCATAGTGAAAATAAACATACATGTGAACGTACAATATAATGGGCTACAAAAACTTTCTTTACCTTCCAGTTGTAGCATTTCATGAGCTAGTGATCACAGAATGTGAACTTTCTTCACAGAATGTGGCTGATATTAAAAAGCTGAAGTCCGTGGGAATCTGTACCGTCAAAGGGATCCAGATGACAACAAGGCGGGCATTGTGCAATGTGAAAGGGCTTTCAGAGGCTAAAGTGGACAAGATCAAAGAAGCAGCCAACAAGCTAATTGTAAGCAAATCACATACCTAGCATTTTCAACTTAGAACACCCTCCCACCCCCACACCCGGTAAGATACTTTGCAGCATTTCCCACTGCAAGCATTAGAACAATCATGCTTACAAGTGATTGTGCTTATTAGTCTGAAGTCAGAGATACTACTTTATAGTCAATAGCAGCCAGACTGACAAGTATGATGGCCCTTGACAGGTTCAGCTGGATGAGAGGTCAATGAGGAGAAATGGATCTTGGCTGAGGAGTTCTTCCTAAGTATCAGGCCAAACTGAATAATTTCCTTTGGTGTTCCCCTAGGAACCAGGATTCTTGACTGCCTTTGAGTACAGCGAGAAAAGGAAGATGGTGTTCCATATCACCACTGGGAGCCAGGAATTTGAGTAAGTTTATCTCTACTTAACCCCGCCTGAGCCTTGCCCAAAAGGTAATCATATTATTTTTCTCCAACTGGCCACAAAACAACTATTAGAGACAAATGTTCAATTAGGGCACAGTGGGTGCACTTGCAAAAAAGCAAGTGGAAGTGAGTCATTTAACCCTGCTCAGAGTAGGGTTGGGTGACACTGGTAAAAAGCCTGATTCCTGCTTACGCTGCAGTCTCCACTGTTGCTACCACATGTGGAACTGTAATGATAGTGAATTGTAGGACCTAAATTTGCCTGAGTAGACTCAACCTTTTTGTATGCTAATCAAGCTCACACACGATAGTTTCATGTCAATAACATGCACCTCAAATCTAATTTTAAATAATAAACGTACTAGCTGACCCTGTTTATTTTGCTTGAGGTTTATGCAAAATTCTCCAAGTTCATCAGCTTTCCCAGAAGTGACACAATATATGTGCAATATGGTGGAATGGTTCAGCAGCAAAACCCCCATCTGAATAAGAAAGGACTCTTCCTCAAAATGTAGGAGCAGACTGTTTGGTTCTTGCATGCACACGCACAAGGAGGCTTCCCTCCTTTGTGTGTTCTGCAGAGGTGCCAGGCACAATTACAATCCGGATACTGTCTTAACTGCCGTGACTGCTTCTTCAAGCACCCCCAGTTTGTTAACCATCCTACAGGGGACAAAGAGGAGGTGGGTGTCTTTACACACTGTCTCATACCAGACAGTAGAATAGCTGACTGTGCAAGGCAGCACTCCTTACACTCTTCTAAGGGGTAGTGTAACAAGTGCATTCCCCAGGCTGCCTGGGAGATTTAAGAAGCATTGTGTCTAAAACAGCATTTCTCAAATGTGGCCACCAGCGATTTTTGTTGCAGCCATGACAACCTCCAAAGGATGGGCAGAGATTGGGACGGAGGGAAAAGAAGCGGCCCCTCCTGCAGTGCCTAGCTGTTGCTCCTGAATAGCTGTTACCAAGGGCAGCGAGATGCACTGCCTTAGTGTTTGCGTTGGTGCCACCAGCAGAGATCGGCGCCCTGTACTGCAGAGCCTTCTTGGGGGTTCCAGGCAGTGGCAGCTCTTGTCCGTGGAGGTGGCTGTGGCATTCGGTCACCGGGATGCTCCCCTGAGCAGCTCCCCCACTCCCATCTGGACACGGCACGGGGAGCCTGGGACTCCGCAAGTGACTAGTGAGTTCCTGACCCACCTTTCCTGGGGCGGGTTCTTGCTGCAGGGCCTCAGGAGGCAGGGACAGAGAGACAGGTTTGTCAGAGTGGCCATCAGCAAGAGTTGGTGAATGCACACTGAGGCCACCAAAAAAATTCGTTGTGAGAACCCCTGGTCTAAAGGAGTTCTTTCTGGGCTGATGCACTGTTCTTAACAGTGACTTGTGCCTTAAAGGTACATTCTGGAACTTTTTCTTGATGGGTAGTGCATGCAAAAGCAAGTAAAAATGGCTAACCATAAGCAGGAAATAAATAGAAAATGTGGTAAATTAATAGATTAGGGTTTATATCAATCCCATGACCACTTGTTGGTGGAGCCTTATCTTCTCAAAAATATTTTCTCTCTTCTGTCTCCCAAGTGGCCACTCTTGTACATTTTCTCCTAAGCACCTGTAGAAGGGGAAGGGGAAGCTGAGACAGAATTAGCACCCTGTATACCAGGGATCATTTGGTGCCCCTGCACCTATCACATCATGAGTTAAGTGCAGGGCCTTTTGGATGAGAAGAGATTTTCTTACAGTGGCAAAGATTCCCCTTTTGACATTACTCTTGTGACTGTGGGCATTTCAATATGCTTAACTCTTTCTCTCCCTCCAGTAAACTATTGGGTGGTGGGATTGAAAGCATGGCAATCACAGAGGCCTTTGGAGGTGAGTGAACCATATTAAATGGATTTTATTGAGTGGATTATCAGTAGAGAGCTGCAGCAGATGTTTAGGTTTTAAAGCAAACTACATTATTTCTATCAAATTCTCATCACACTGGATCTGAAAAGATGGAGGTTCAGGCTCAGCTATAATGGATGGTCCCTTTCCAGGGTTGATGAAAGCAGAAATAATCCCATCTTTGTCAGTTTTTTGCCATTGTTCCTCTTCAGTTGTTGCAGATGCGGGTTGAGCTGGGTAACACTCACATTTGGGGGCATGCTGGTTCAGTATCGTATACCATTATGAACAGTGTTGCTCAGGAAACATTTCCCCATTTTGCTTCTCCATTTCTTCCTAGTAATGAAACCTTGATGTGAGATTTCCTGCTGATACATACTCTTCTCCACGAAGAATCAAAACTTAAAGTTCAGCCCACAATAGACTATTGTAATTCAAGAGATGTGTAAATATTTGCACCCAGCTTCTATCATTCATTAGCTCTACTACAGGCAAAAGTCACAGTGTAAAGCAATATAAAGTATGCAGATCCACAGATGTGACATATGTAATTTTGGCAGCACCGTACAGAATTCAAACAACGAGATATAAGCAAATAATGCAATGCCCTTCATATCTGATTTAGATAGTAAGCTATTATTACAGCAAAAGTCAATCAGCAAGATCAGAAGACTTCAGCAGCAATAACTACAGTTTATCAAATACAGCACACTTCCCCTTTTAAAAAGTGTCCTTGAGGCTTGAACAGTTTGATGACAGATTTTCTGGACATGTCTTAAAATATTATCTCCTGGTCTTCAAAGTAATACCACCAACTTGAAATCTAGATTAAAAATGAGATAAAATTTGTTTCAGGTGTTACACCCACCCTTGAGTCTCTTGACCAATTTTTATGGATTTAAAATAACATTTTTAAAATTTGATTTTCTGTTCTCATCTGCTATGTGGAAGACCCACACAATTGATAGAGGAAAGTAACTATCTGAATGTATAAGGGAAATAGGGAAAATAACTATAGACAAAATGCTGTCAAATGTAGAAAGTAAGCAAACTGAAAAAATATTTTTGTAAATCTTTTAGCTATAGCAAACTTAGATATTACGTGTTAAAAATAGTAAGTAAAATATTTTTGACAGAAGTTTGGTTTTTTTAATTGATTGTATCCATTTAAAACTGATGCTAATATTTTCATTTGAGTGCAACACACCTCTGTAGTAAATGGAATTCTTTGTAGGTTGATTGTAATGATTATTGCAGTGTTTATCTGTGTTTTTTTGAGAAACAGTTTCACATTCATCATTCTTGTTGCCAGTAAGATGTCTTGATGTGTGCTAGGTTTGCTGGACCCTACACACAAGTGGGAATGGCAATCACACCACCATTTGGATTATTAGTATTATTGTATTAACTCTGAGCAAGGCCATTTATCATCCGCGTTGTCAGTTTTCACTGGTGCAATGCCAGTGGAACAGCAAGCACTGGTGTGGTGTAGCCATTGCACCAATGCAATTAGTCTCTCAGTACAGTCACAGAATGCTCCAGTATACCCTTTACTAATATCTTTGACAGCTCATGGCAGTGCCTTTGGCACCTGTCAAGATGGTTCCATATGGCACAACAGCAGTTATGGTTCTACATGGACCCACAATGCCCCCCACACGTCTCTTCCTTTCAGGACTGGTCAAAAGCAAATGAGGCAGTATTTGGGTGATTTCAGCTCATCCCAGGCACCTTTCCTGAGACCCCTGCCCTCAGAATAACAGTGAACAACCAACAAGATAATATAAAATACAAATTTATAAAACATGTAACATGTTTTTCTCTCCTTTTTTTTTAAAATTCTATGGACATTATTCACTTATTCCAGGGAGCTGTGCCAGGGACTGTGGGATAGATGCAACAATCCATAGGCCCCACAATACTTGCAGTGAGTGTTCTTTGTGGACAATGTATATCATGGACAACCAGAACAAGATGCCTAGTGTAGACACACTGCACCATGGTGATCATATGGTGTAAATTACAATGGTGCAATTCTCAAATAGCTTTGGAGAGCAAAGCAATGGCTATAATGGGTTCTGGAATTGCTCACATGGCTTCTGATATTGGAACCCATTTGACTGAAAATAAAGTTAAGCCTGGTCAGTGGAGTTAACCCAATACCCTCAGCAACACCTAACATTTTTCCAACAGTGTCTTGGAGTTGATATTACTATGGGTTGGGTATAACCATTGCTCATTTAAGACAGTTGTAAGAAGACATTAAGCTCCTTTATGGAAGCAGGTAGCTGAAACAATAGGGGCCTCCTCTAATCAAATACAGGTACTTATCTGCCAAAAACAAAGGCATGTGTGAGGCCACTCAGGAATTTGACCTATGTGGGTGGAGGGGCTTTGCTGGCTTTGTTTTAGTAGGTGTGTGTGTGTCAGAGAGAGAGAATCCACAGAAACAGATGGAGAGCAGGAGAGAAAAGCCAATGACACAAGTTATGTCAGCCCTGCGATCAGAAGTGTGACTACAGCAAATGTAGACATACATGAGCTAGCTTTGATCTAGCTAGCTAGCTTGAATAAAAATAACAATGAAGGTCAACAGCACATTCTGTACAAGCTGGTCTGGGACCTTGACTATGTACTTCAGGGGCTAGCCTGTGAAGCTTCATACCTCTGACTGCAATGTAGAAATACCCATAGTCAGAACAAGTACAGGGAACATGGGCCTGAGAAAAAACTGGAAAAGGGATTTGGAACTGTGAATGAAGACACTGTCTCTTATTGTTTGGTTCCTACTGTGTTCAAGGATACAGGACTTTGTACAACCTTTGAAAATACACAGGATTTCATCAAAGAAACACCTGACTCCTGGCCTCTGCTTTGCCTCCTAGTGGAAACAACCCACGCAGTCCTGAACTTTGGCTACCTACTCAGGTCAAAAAATGGTAACAATACATTTAACTTCCACCTGGATGCAGTTACCAGGGACAAGTGGAAGTTAGCTCAGTTTAACATTGTCAAGCATGATACCTCTCACAGTGCAGCACTTCTAAGCCCTGCTGTTCAGAAGTACAATTTGCACTGTTCTTCATACGATTTATGAGTGGGCACTGAAAGACAGAAAGCAATACAGGTGATTGAGGTTTTATAAATGAGAGTGTATTCTTATTGAAACAACTCACGTATTTGACAAACTGCAAAAACTTTTCCCCTTGTTTTTTCTCTTTAATAGAATTCCGAACAGGCAAAACCCAGCTTGCCCACACCCTTTGTGGTAGGTACACTGTCTTAATATTATCAGTTATATCCCTCTGCAATCTCATTCATTAAGGAGTTCTATCGCAATGTCAGTCTTTGATCTCTAAAAAAAACACTCTACCAACCTAGCAAACAGCATTTAGGAGCTAAGACCTGCCTGCATGTAGCTTGGGTACACATACCTAAAGATGAGCTCCTTTCTTAGATACATGAGAAGGAAATATCTTGTCTTAGAGAAGTGGAAATATGGCATATTCTGTTACCTCTAGAAATGTTGTGAAGTAAAGCCTTCAGTGAGTCTTATTTCTGTTAATTCAGATGTATATGAATTGTAAGTTTCTTTGTTTACATCTGTTCCTTTGCCATTATTCTATATTTCAGAACATTATTGATAGTGTTTACATCCTCTTTGAATCCATTCAAAATGCTGTGGCAAAAATATTCTTCACAGTGTGTTGCTTTGACCAGTTTTCCTCCTCTTTGCATCCCTGCACTGGATCCCCCTTTTCCACTGCATCAAGAACAAGAGCATAAGACTCTTCATGGCTTATCCCTGCCCTAGCTCTCATCTTTATACTCTGTAGAAATGTAGACTCTCACCTTCACTCTGCCAACAGTGCCACCCGCGATTGCCCATTTGTCCAACTTTTGGATAAGCACCATAATGCATTCTCTCATGCCTGCCCTTATGCTTGGAAAGAGCTCTCAGTAATAATTGGTGAGACCACTACATTATCTTCCTTTTAATCTCTCCTTAAAACCCACCTTTGCCACGATGCCTACAAAATGGTTAGGCAGCTGATGTGCTGCAACCGCTGAGACTGCTGCTTATTATATTGTTTTAACTGTTTTGCTGTTAACTTGTGCTCTCCCGAGTCTGTCTCTCATATCCACCTATTGTCTCCTATCTTAAATTTACATTGTAAAATCTTGGTCAAGGACCATCTCTTTGTGATATGTTTGCACAGTGCAAAACATAACAGGTCTCTTGATGCTACCACAATACAAATACATAATAATAAATAATGTAGTTGTTAATAATATTGGAATTTAGTTTCTAAAAATTATGAAGAACCAACAATTTCTCGGTCTGATCTCCCTTTATGACAGATACTGAGGCTCTTTCTTGAAAAATGGGGGTGTTTTCATGTAGTCCAAGGATGTCCAAATTACAGCCTGAGGGCCACATTTGGCAGCAGAGTAATAATTCTTTGCATATAGGATGAGGATAAAACTGATCATCTAAATTTGTTCATTGCTGATAAATTCAAACAGTCGGCATCTATTCATCTACCAAGAAAGATACATATCCAAATACAGTGTGGTAAAAGTGTAGTAGTGAAGAGATGGAAAGGCCCTATTAGATCATTACCATTGATCTTAGCGAGAAGGCCAAAATGATGTTTTTCTTCATTAATTATTACTAGTTGTTTTAATTAAATATTTATTTTTAATAAAAATTATGCAAATTTAGATGTAAAGTAAGTGTTAGTACTCAGTAACATAAAGTTTGATTAAGTTTGACCTGACATCCCACAGAGAAAAGTTACTCTGGTTCCTTCTTAAGCTAGCTGTGGAGGCAAGTCAGCCTTGCTATAAAGGCAACTCTGGTTATTAGTACTGGATCATTTGTGTGTTGTGTACAAACTGGTGGATCTGTCATTTGTTAAAAGTAGTAGCAGAGAGAGTTGGAGGGGTGGAAGAGGCTTTTTCCCCTCTGCTCATTTTGATCCTCTCTTTATGATGCATTAGTGACAGCTCAGCTTCCAGGAGCAGATCGCTACACAGGAGGAAAAATTATCTTCATTGATACTGAAAACACTTTGTATCTTTTTTACTTAAGCAAGTTTCAGGTATGATAGAAAGGGATGTTGATGCCTCTTGTAATGAGTACAGCATCCTCATAATCTTCTGATGGAGTGCATTTTGTTGCAGAAAGCAGCTTAGCTGCTCTAAATGGCTCCATTCATGGATAAAAGTAAGGAGCTGTCTCTCAAATCTGGCCCATGGCATCATGAAGAAAAACAAAGTCAGTGTTGTCCACAACAATTTATTCTTATTACAGTATAAATTACTAAAGCAAGAAGCCAAAATGATTTAGGTATTGGAGTTTGGACATGGTGCTTTTTATCTCTAGGTCATTTGTTATAATCCAACCCAAATAGAGGATGGGGGGGGGGGGTTAAGATACAGATCTTGTTTTATATTTCTATTTGTGTAGTTCTAATGTGCTCATCTTTTTAATATCTTGGTGATAGAAGCTTTTCATATCCAGTTTACTGCTTCAAAAGTGATTCCACTGTTTGTTACTATCTCACAGCTTTTTGATGGACTATGTAAAATGAGATTGCTTTCTGTCTAGTTAGGCCTTGGCTACACTTGCAAGTTAGAGTGCATTAAATCAGCTCTGCACGCCCTAACTCCTGAGGTGTTCACACTGGCAAGGCACGTAGAGCGCCTGGACTTTGCAGCTGGAGCGCTCCTGGTAATCCACCTCCACAAGAAGCATAAAGCTTGCTGCGCCCCGGCTGAAACACCCGGATGTTAGTGTGGAGGACGTGTTGCATTACTGCACTGTGATTGGCCTCCGGAAATGTCCCATAATCCCTTGAAGTCAAGTGGCCACTCTTCTCATTGTTTTGAACTCGGCTGCAGGCATGCGGATATCCCCTTTCAAAGCTCCGTTTCTAACAGCCGGCATGCTTATCTGCTCTGGGACAAAGCAAACCATTACTGTGGAATGCTCCTGCTGCAGAGGCAGGTGTTTGTGCATGTGTGTGAGAGAGAGAGAGAGGCGGGGGTGAGGGCTGATGTCGGGGTTTCCCCCTTCCCTGTGCCGCTGTCTAAACTTACCAGACAGCATGCTGACACACTTTGCCCCCCAAAACACAGTGTCTCCCCCCACATACACACAACAGACTCCCTATCACACTCCAACCCCACCCTCCCTTCCACCAGATTTGAAAAGCATGCGGCAGCCCCTTGCACACTGGGATAGGTACCACAATGCACTGCTCTCTGTGGCGTTGCAAGAGCTGCTAATGTGGCCACGCCACTGCGCTTGCAGCTGACAGTGTGAACACACTGCAGCGTTTTCCCTGCTGCAGTCTCCGAGGGCTGGTTTAACTCCCGGCGCTGTACATCTGCAAGTGTAGCCATGCCCTTAGTTTGTATCACCAAAACAAAACAAAACACATCACCATAAGGACTAATTGCTCCTCTTGTTGGCAATATCGACAGAAAGGCCAAGGCCTTGTCTGGGAGCTCTGGATTTTGATTTGAGTTTTATGGATTTTCATAATTTGCATGATGTATATAAAGAGAATCCTTAAATCTTACACATTCCAGCCGTCCAGATCGTCTTCGTGACATCGCTGATCGCTTCAATGTAGACCATGATGCAGTGCTTGACAATGTGCTGTATGCACGAGCATATACCAGTAAGATCATCATTGGAATGGGCACAACACCCTTCCCCCCCCCCCCACTACTGTTTCAGCAGTTCTCAAGTTATTGGCTAAGACCTTCTCCTGGGGATTACTAACATTTTTCTGGGCATGGGGAGTCACAAGCCTGCTTCAGTTTTCTGTTATGGTCCTCTGCTGCCATAGATTTGCTCAGGATAAGTGGTCCTACTTAGTTGCATTCTGTAAACTGTTTAGCAAATTCCAGAAATACTAAGGGCTTGTCTACACAGGGGTTTAAACCAGACTAATTCGAGTTAATCCAGTTTCAGAATGCTTGCATACACACAGTGCAATTCATTATAGCACATTAACTCTGCGTTTATCTCAGACTCTGGAGTCCTCTTTCAAAGTGAACTAAGTTTGATGCAGTTGAGTTAGTTCAGTCTATTGTTCGTCTGCACGCAATGCTGCTGCACACTACTTTGGCAGTCCTCCAGCTACTATCCCACACTGCTTTGTGGGCGACTGTTACTGACCTTTCTGTTTACCTGTGCGGCTGTGATGCTTCCTGGGGATACCCAGGGTTGTGAGGAATCTCACTACCACCTGCCCTTAGCAATAGGAAACCTTGTCTGTGTCTGCAGGGAATCAGCTTCCCAACTCCACCAACCAGGGGCAACACAAGCACTTCCCTCTAGGCCTTGTAGACCCTGCTGTCTCTCTACTGGTTAACAATAGGCAAACTCCAACCCTCAACTCTTCCGAGTGTCTCCCTGGAGTGTCCAGTCCCTGGTCCACTGGACACTTGCAGTATTCACAGATCTCCTGCTTCCTAAAAATCAGTAAACCCCAGCTTACCAATTCCACCTCATATCATTTCTCTGCTTAACAAACAGCACTAAGATATGTTTATAGTGAAAACGGTATGGCCGTTCTTATTTTCTTAAGTATAAATTTATTTAACAAAGCATAGAGATTCAAGTAATAGCATGTAGACGTTCTGGAAGCAAATGGTTACATATAAAATTAAATCTTAATATGCATTCTAGAACCTAGATTTAATTAACTAGATACTCTGATGTCTTAAGCATAATGCTCACCCAAAGTCCTTGCAGCGTTTTACAGCCAGGCTTGGCTGTGAGCTTCCTTTCATGAGACAGACATGCTTGTCTCCTAGTTGGCCCATTGTGTTCCTTTGCCTCCTAAGATATACAAGTTCCATCCTTTGTCTTCATTCATGTACAGGACACTCCCTGCTGTTTTGGTTCTTCCTGTAGATTTTGTCTCTTGTAGATTTCACACCCTTTCAATTGGCACCTGGCTCAGTATGCAAATAGACCTCCATTGTGATGCAGACAATACATAGTACACATATGACCAGACCGCGAGATAAGCAACTGTTACTTCTTGCCTCAAAGGAGTACATCTGAGCATGTCACATCTTGGTGACTGGCCTTAACTCTAGTACCTTAAGAATGTAACTTTCAGTATAGATACATAATTTCTTAAATATTATCCATACATACAATTTGCTGTAATGATGATGACCAGTGATTATGGTGGCTCTTAGTATCGACTTCACATGCTGCCCTTTGGTGTAGTATTGTGCATATATCTGACAGCGGGGAGATCTGCAAAACCCCATGCACCCCCTGTGCCCTCTGCCAGTTGACACCAAGAGGTTCCTGTATCACAGAGCCCTCCACTGTTCTGTTGTTGAGTTGATCAGACATCCACATCCCCATATAAAAATTGGCTTGGGGCCAGAATTTGCCCATTTACTCCTGGATTTGAGTATATCAGCCATGTTGTGATATTTCTCCAGAAGCCTTATAGTATGCCTTGAGGAGTCTCTTGGAGCTATGCAGAGACCTATCTCATCACCCCCTGGGGAGAAATATCAATGCAGGAAGCTCTTGTGGCTAGTCTCCAGAATAAAAATCTTTCTGTAGACATGGCTAAATAGATGTCCATGAGGGGCCACAGCTAATAGTGCAGGATAAAGAGCAAACAACTCAGGAGAATGTACATTAAAACTAAGGATGCTAGGAAAAGGTCCAGCAATGGAAAAGTCTCCTGTCCTTTTTATGAGGAGGTGGACAGGATTTTGATCAATTACACCACTGCACAAACCAAGAAGTTTGCTGCTCCACCTCCCCCTAGAACAAGAACCAAGAGTCATTGGAGGATGAACACGAGGAGGTCAGTAAAAAACTGTCCCAAGAAAGCCAGGATCTTTTCGGGATTCAAGACCCTGACGATGGCTGGGTAGAAAGCAAGCCTGATTCCTGCCATGCAGGAATGAGCCCAATTTCCAGCCAGAAATACAAAATGGTACTGAGGAGGTAGATCCAATCAAGGGAACATGAGCATGTAAGTATTCATATCTAAAATTTATTATTATTATTATTTTGTTATGCTATAGTGCTGTGCTAGCTTCTGTTCCAGGTGCCCCATGGCCGCAGTCATTTTTGACAGATGTTTATCCAGCCCCCTGGCTCCCTAAACCGAAGCTGCCTGTTCCCCCCGATCTCCCCCATACACTTCTTCAAAATGGCAGCTGCTCCAGCTGGACATTCAGACTCAGTTTCATGATAAAATCCCAACCATCAACCAATTTGAAGCACACGCCATGGAGGACACAAGACTATTAACCTATTTTCACTTCCCTGCATCTGTCCTTCCTTGCGAAATCCCTTCCCCCCCTTCCCCCCCAGTTCTATTCACCAGCTCAACATGTCTGCTGGCAGTATGGTGCAACCTCAGCCTGTACCCAAACTGCCTAATGCAGCGGATGCAAATAATGAAAACATTCAATTGTGTGAAATTCAACAGTTTATTGAGAGACTGGTTGCAGAAAAAGAAGTTTGGTTAGTATTCTCACTTTACATGAGGTAGATGTGGACATTGCATGGCAAGACTACAGCTCCCACTCACTTATAAATGTCCTGTAGCACACATTTTTATAGGAAAAGAGCTTTGCCTTAGGGACAGCAAAGTTCTTAGTGGCTTTTCACAGGCTTACATAGAGAAAGACTGGCAATAATTAATGCTTCACACAATCATTGCAGAACTCTATCTGTTTTTCTCTGCACTTTCATCGTGTCTGCAGGAGAGAGAAAACAGAATCTAAGACTAAGAAGCGTCTCAGTTTTAGTCCAGACATGAAGGATAGCTACACAGTCATTTCCCCCAGTATAGCTTGCAATGCCCTTCCACTCCTGCAACACTTCTGGGGCAGACTCCCTTGGTGAATAACTTCACAGTGTACCTGGTGGGTCTGTCCTTTTCCTTTCTGAATAAGGCCATTCTCTGCCTCTTAGTCACCACCTCAGTGTCAAGTCATAAAGAATCAGGACAGCCTAAAGGGGATGTAGAGAAGATTACTATCCCAATCTCCCCCAGATTCCTCCTGCCAACCTCTCAACACCAGACGGCCCAAGAACAAGAAAATGCAGAATTGAGGCATATACTCACCTGTGACTTGAATCCCCCCTGCCCGTGTTGTGTTTTGCCCTCCACTGCACTGTGTAATTTTGAATTTTGGTTTAATTATTGTTTTAATTAAAGGTTTATTTCTGGTTGCTATGTAATAGATTGTATAATAATAAAAATGGTTAACTATTCATAAAGAGTTGTCAATGCATTTTAAATAGAAAATCCCTACATTTTAAATACTAGGGTTTTACAAAAGTATTGAGTCACAGACACAAGGTAAAATAAGGATTGCCACAGTGGTCCACTTTCATTGCCCATAAACAAGACTGCATTGCCCACAATTCATCCCACCCAACCCTGTCCGCGGGTTAACAGCTGGATGTACAGCTGTAAATTTTCAGGCCTCAGACTCAAAGTAAGAACAGTAGGCATCCCTGGCAGTATTGCCCTGGCTGTTTCCATTTTCTATTGGATTCCTTGTTGGCTGTTCAAACTTCTGAGCAAGTCTCTCCACCTCAGCCTCCCACCCATCATTAAGGCTTTCTCCCTTACTCTCACAGATATTGTGCAAATACAACATGGAGCTATCACCTTTCTGCAGCTTCCAACCTACTCCACAAACAATACCACTGTCCTTTCAGATGGACAAATGCACACTCCACTGCCATTCTGCAACTACTGAGGCATAGGCACTGTCTTTATGAGTGGCCAGGGGGTGCTTGACCCCAACTCTGCCCCAGGCCCCACTCTGTCCCTTCCCCCCACCACACCCCGCCTCTTCCCGCCCCCTCCCCGAGCACTCTTGCTCCTCCTGCACGCCGCTAAACAGCTGATCCGCGGTGGGTGGGAGGCGCTGAGGGGTAGGGGGAACAGCTGATTGGCGGTGCTGCCAGTGGTGCTGAGCACCCACTATTTTTTTCTGTGGGTGCTCCAGCCCCGGAGCACACATGGAATTGGAGCCTATGTACTGATGTGTCTATGACTCTATGTGATAAACAGTTTCCTCCTTCTGTACAAGTGGCCTGTGAATAGCTTCATTAACCAGGGTACCAGAGGATAAACCAGGTCTCCCAGGATAATTGGAGTAGCCTCCACGCCGTTCATGTCCATAGTGATCCTGGGGGCAAACAGTCCTTTATTCATGAAGGTAAATAAAGCTGAATTCCAAAAGGTCCTATCATTGTGGACCCTTCCAGACTGCATTTATGTTTGTAAACCTGCCTCCATGGTCAACCAGCCCTTGGAACACCATGAAGGAATATCTCTTTATATTTATAAATTCTGAGCCCTGGAGTGGGGGGGATACACAAATAATAGGCACATGGGTCTCATCAGTTGCCCCAATACAGTGTGGGAACCCCATATATGCAAAGTCATCAATAATCTCTTGAGCATTACCAAGCTTTATAACCTGGTGGAACAGTACCTTATTCAGGGCATCACATACCTGCATGATAATGGCCCCAACAGTAGATCTCCCTACACCAAATTGGTTGGCTATGGATGGTAACATTTGGGGGTGACCAGCTTCAAGGTGTCAGTGGCGACTTGCTTCTCCATGAATATGGGATGCTGCATGTTGGTAAACTGCTGTTGCAGCTCCAGGGCTAGTTCAGCACGTACTTCAAAAAAGGTTGCCTTCCCCATCCTGAAATTCTCTTGCCACTGCAGGTTCTCTCAGGTCTGCCAAACAATCCTTTTCCACCAATTGACACTGGTTTTCCGAGCCCAGAAACAATGCTGCATGTTGTGAAGCTGCTCCAGGAACAGCTCCTGTAGTAGCAGTTGCTTGGTGTAATCCTCTTCTTCCTTGTCCTGCTTATGGAATTATTTTAAAATTTAAACCTGCCTGGCTTCCCCCATGCCTCCTACAGTGCACAGCGAGAAAAATCCCAGAATGCACGCTGCTCAACAAAGTGCCATGCACTTAGTATGCAGCAAGCTGCCGCCAGGTGTATGCAATGATGAGAGTTGAAAGACGGTCCAGCCATCCTGTGTGCATGCTATTAGTGTGGCTTGCATATTGTGTGTTAAGTAATGTGCACCAAATCAATCTGGTTTAAACCCTCTGTGTAGAAATGCCTTAGTGAACTCCATATCTTATAATATTTGTGTATCACCATGGTATCTGAATTTGCTTTCTTTGAAGCACTATGGAAACTGTATATTGGTGGAGACTAATTGTGAGTGCTTGAATGTAAGTGGGCAGTATAAACAACGTTGAGAAAGTCTGTCGTTTTGTGAATGGAACCTTATAGGCATGAACCCATGCACTATGTGGCAAGGCCTCTATATCCTGCAGCACTGCGGTGCAACAGACTCAAAATTCTGTGGCAGCTTCAGGTAAATTTTTAAAATGGAAATTTTTATTGAGTTAAATATGAAAATGAATAATGCAGTTAGTATAATATTCCTTGTGTTAATGAATTTCATAGTCAATTCATTTCACTTTGTCCCTCCATTTGCACTGTTCTGCAAAATCGTGTCCTGATGCACAGTAGAAATTGTCTTGGGGAAGTTGAAGGTTTTGGTAGCTGGATAGGGAGCGTTTGGAACCTGCGGAGGCATGAGAGGCAGTTGTAGATTGTGGGGGGTAATCACATTAGTTGGAATTGCTACTAAAACTATTAGCAGTGAAATACTAAACAATGTTGACATTTAAATTGTCATCTTAGGTTTCATAGTTAATTTCATATGAATGATGCAATTCACGCCTCTCAACTGCACTGATTTATGTTTTTAAATTGTTTTGTATTTTTTTTAACCATAAACACTAAGAACTTAATGTTTCAAGAATGAAAACTGATATGATGCACAGTTCCATGCATGTGGTGGGCTCTATAGAAAATTCTGCAGCCATGGAATACATAGGGCATAGCTTATGAACACTCATTTACTGTCCTTTGCCTCCACCTTAAGAGTTAGGCCAGGTCTACACTAGAAGCGCTTTGACAGTATCGCTATGCTGGTATACTGTCATGGCAAGATGCTCCTAGTGTGGACACAGCTTTTACTGGCAAAACTGAATTTTTGGTGGGATAGCTTATTCCAGGTCCCCTGAGCAAAACAAGCTATACTGGCCAAAGTAACACCCCTGGCTGACACAGCTATGCCAGCAAAAGTTTGTATGTAGTCCTGGCCCTAGTGCAGACATCACTTACACTGACAAAACATGTTTTTGCCAGTATAGCTGATACTGGTTCTGTGAATGAAATAATGCTGGTATAACTGTGTCCACACTAGGGTTTTTGCCAGCATAAAAATGTTGCCAAAAAAAAGCCCAACACCCCTGACTGACATTACTACATCTGCAAAAGTTTCTAGTGTAAACCTGGCCTTAGTGTTACCTCATGCATTGGTTCCTTCTGGGTCTTAATTTCATTCTCCAACTGTACTTCCCACCAGGTGAACATCAGATGGAGTTGCTTGACTATGTAGCAGCCAAATTCCATGAGGAAGCTGGCATCTTCAAGCTATTGGTATGAGCCTTTTGGTCATTTTACTCTTCTGCATCAGCTTAATGCTTTCAGGATAATTTTCTCTTTTCCTCCTTCCTTTTCTTTCACTACATTTATTTATTTTGTATCTTTACCATGCAGATCATTGACTCCATAATGGCACTCTTCCGTGTAGATTTCAGTGGCCGTGGGGAGCTGGCTGAACGGCAACAGAAACTTGCTCAGATGCTATCAAGGCTCCAGAAAATCTCAGAAGGTAGGGGGGACCTTGTAGAAAAAGTGAAAAATATATTGGAACTACTGTGAAAAGGCAGTTGTTGGTAGCCCCGCATTATCACATGGTAGCCCCAATGAATTTAATGGTAGACATTACCCAATGAATCTTTCCTTGCTTTACACAACCACCACAACCTACTAACAAAAATATGATACTTAGTTAGAAATCATGTGACTTCAGTTTGACCAATTGGCCTCCAAGATTCTTCAACATTCTGAAGCGTCTCAGAATTATTCTTCTTTGTATTTCAGTAGCATGTAGAAGCCCCAGTTCAGAGAATTGGGACATTGTTCAACATAGTAAGAGATAGTTCCTGCCTTGAAGAATTTACAATCTAAATAGACAAGAAAGACAAATGGTGGAAGGAAAAACAGAAGCAGAAGGGGTAAAGTGACTTACCCATTGTCACAGTCTACCAGCAATATTGGAATGTTGTGATGGTTTATTACTGGCTGAGTAGGAAGTTACATTTCCCCCCATTTTTTGAATGTTTCACTACAACTGGTGAAGAGAGTGGCAGAGGTTCTTTCCATACAATAAATTTTAAAAAGTTAACCGTTTTAAAAAGAAAAGGCTTCTAGGATGGGTTTTCCAAAGGAGCTCAGTGCTGGCCTAACTTTGCTCCCACTGAGTTCAAATGGAAGAAGAATTAAGCCAGCTCTGATTGCTTTTAAAAATTCCATCCCTAATTAGTCCAGGCCATCAGAAAGATAGGCAGGAGTGTTCTGTTGTTTGTGATATGGGTGCTGGACCCATCAGTCAGAAACTGTCTCCCTTGTGCCACTCATGGGATAATATGCATGAATTTTAGTTTGAATTCTTTAGGTCTTTATATTGTTCTTAATTGCAGAATATAATGTGGCTGTGTTTGTGTCCAATCAGATGACTGCTGATCCAGGAGCAACTATGACGTAAGCCACTTGCTCTTCTCTTTTTCTTTTAAACTTCTCCTCTTGCATTAAACACTTAATAGATATGGGAAATGGAGTTTTGTCAGGAAGGGCAAGCACAGGTGTGAAGATGCACCCTACATCTTTAAACAGGTTTAGTACCGGGCTGTGATTTGTTGAGGCCATGTCTACACTAGCAAGCTTACAGCGGCACAGTTGTATCAATGCAGCTCGCTGCTATAAGATTGCTTGTGTAGCCGCTCTATGCCGATGGGAGAGAGCTCTCCTGTCAACATAATAAAATCACCTCACTAAGAAGATCTTTCGCTGACGTGGCGCTGTGCATACTACCACTTATGCCAGTGAAACTTATGTCGCTCAGGGATGTGTTTTCCACACCTCTGAGCAACATAACATTTTACTGACATAAGTGGTAGTGTAAACATGGCCTGAGAGGTACTGGCTGCATTGATCACAAGACACTTTAAGTTTGGGTGTGAGTGCACTTCAGTTAACATAACTGTTAGGTGAGTTATCAGAAGCTCCCCACCTAAGACAAAAGGTGGCTGTGGAACATGCCCAGAAGTGCAGACTGATTGTGATCATAGGGGTTTTACTGAATATTGCTTAGTGTGTGTGTGTGGGGGGGGAGGGGGATGGAAACAAGGTGGGTGAGGTAATATCTTTTATTGGACCAACTTCTGTTGGTGAGAGAAACAAACTTTCGAGCTTACACAAGAGCTCTTTGTCAGGTCTGGGAAATGTACTTGGGGTATCACAACTAAATATAAAGACAAATACCATAAATCCAGGTTTCAGAGTAGCAGCCGTGTTAGTCTGTATCCGCAAAAATAACAGGAGTACTTGTGGCACCTTAGAGACTAACAAATTTATTAGAGCATAAGCTTTCATGGGCTACAACCCACTTCTTCGGATGCATATAGAGTGAAATATCCAGTGCCTCTATTCAATTCATGATTTTTAGCATCTAGTAAAGTTATGAATTTAAGCTCCCAGGCTTGTCTTTTGAAGGTGTTGTGCGGGTTTCCTTTGAGGATGGGGACTGATAGTTCAGACATAGAGTGATCACTTTGTGAAAAGTGTTCACTCACAGGCGATAGGCTATTTTTGTCTTTTATCATTTTTCTCTGTGAGTTCATTCAAGAGTGTAGTGATTGTCTGGTTTAACACACACAGTTGTTATTGGGGCATTTAGTGCACTGGATGAGATACACCATAAATTGTGATAAGCATGTGTAGGACCCATGGATCTTGAAAGGTGTGTTGTGGGGGATCATTATAGCAGTGGATATATGTCTGCAGGTTTTGCATCTGTTGTTCTGGCAGGGTCTGGTGCTGCTTTGAGTTGGTGTGTCCTGGTCTGTGGGGAGTTTGCTTCTGATGATGAGCTTGGAGAGGTTGGAGGTGTTGTTAGAAGGCCAGAAGAGGGGGTCCAGTAAAGATTTCTTTCAGGATAGGGTCCCCATCGAGTATGGTTGTTGTAGTTTGATGATACTCTGTATGGTTCCCAGTGTGGGATGGTAGGTGACAACTAGGAGTGTGCAGTCGGAGGGGATTTTATTTATGTATTGAAGCAGATTTTCTTGGGGTATTTGGGTGGCCAGTTCCATGATTCGATCTACTTCTCTGGTGGAGTGTCCTTGTTTTGGTGAAGGTGGTTTTGAGTGTGTTAATGTGTATATCCCGGACTTTCTCCTCAGAGCATATTCTGAGGTATCTGAGTGCCTGGCTGTAGATAACAGATTACTTGGTATGTTTGGGGTGGTTACAGGATCTATGAAGATAAGTGTGGTGATCCATGGCTTTCTTGTATATAGCTGTCTGTAGGGTTCCATTGTTGAAACTGATCGTGGGGTCCAGCAAGTTGATGCTAGTGGGGGAGTGTTCCAGAGAGAGTTTAATGGACAGGTGGTGGTTGTTGAAGTTGTCGTGGAAATCTGTGAGGGAGTTTAAATTGTGTGTCCAGAGGATGAAAATATCATCAATGTATGTCAGGCATATCATTAGTTTCGTGGTGCATTTGTCCAGAAATTCTTCTTCAACGTGGCCTATGAAGAGGTTGGTATATTGGGGAGCCATCCTAGTAACCATGGTTTGGACAAAGAATTTGTTGTTAAGTGCAAAATTATTATGGGTGAGGATGTAATGTAAGAGTTTGGTGATGTATTTGGGGGTGGATATCTGAGGGTTGTCCATTGTCTTGTAAATATTTGAGTCAGATAGCTATGTGAGGGAAGGCAGAACATTCAGCAACTGAGAACAAAGAAGAACCGAGAGAGAGGCAGAGGCAAAAAGCAAGAAATTGGAGCAGTAGCCTGTAAGCACTGTATACGAACCTGGAAAAAAGCTAGAGACAGTGCCGGTGCTACCATTAAGGCAAACTAGGCGGTTGCCTAGGGCACCAAGATTTGGGGGCGCCAAAAAGCGGTGCCCCCAATTTTTTTTTTACAGCATTCCTGGGCTGGGCTGCTGGCGGCGCACTGACACGTGCGGCTCAGACTCCCTCTCCCAGCGCAGCGACCGCTCCACTTCTCCCGCCTCCCAGGCTTGCAGCGCCAATCAGCTGTTTGGCGTCGCAAGCCTGGGAGGGGAGGAGAATTAGAGCGGGGGTGGCGTGCTCGGGGAGGAGACGGAGCAGAGGTGAGCTGGGGTGGGGAGCTGCTGCACGGCTCCCCGGGGG